GAACTAAGTTAACCAACAATAACCAATAACAACCAAAGATGCATGGCTTTGAATTTTAACCTTTCTTGTTGCTATTGTGGCACAAACCTATTGGCTGATTTTGCTTAGAGGAACACATTATGTCCCTACAATCAAAGAGATGTGTTAGATAACCCACCAATTAACGGAAACTTGACTCCTTCAACCTTTGGCCCAAACTATTTTATATGCTGACTTTTGATATAACTAGCAAATTTTCAATGCAAGCTGGATAAGAAGATGAACTAACACCTAACACCACATTCCAAAAGGGTTCTAGCTCTCCATTTTCCTAACAACATATACCTACCTTATAGGCCAAGTCCTTGACTCCAAACTATAAAGACCCCAACACCACCCCCTGAATTCTTCAACCAGACCATAAGAGAAGTTATTCATATCACAAGAATCATTACAATGGCTTCTTTCAATAGCTTTATCTTTGCCTTCTTCATGGCTTTATCATTTTCAAGCATCAACGTCAGCTTAGGAGCTCGTCGTCTTCAGCAACTACCGCCTCTGCCTACAGGAACAACATTGCCACCATTACCATCTATCCCAACTCTCCCACAACCTTCATTACCATCTCTACCAAAGCCCGGCACGCTCCCACCACTTCCTAGCATTCCTGCAATACCTCAACCTACCTTGCCTACCGCCCCCAAAGTCACTCTACCTCCACTGCCTAGCATTCCCTCATTGCCTCAGCCTACCCTGCCCACTGCTCCCAAAGTCTCTCTACCTCCCCTGCCCAGCAGTATTCCTTCAATTCCTACACTTCCCTCCATCCCATCCCTCTCTCCTCCTCCTGGAAATTAACTTACTAGTCCTCGTAATGGATTTTTCATCCCATATGGAGTTTGGACCTGCTTTTGAGCTGCCGATGTCATTACGGTTTATACTTTTGATTTTATGTGTCAGCATTATTGTTTCTTTCACTTCGTGTATTTGGAATAAACCAGTGACTTCTTAATATTGGGAATCGTTTTGTTTTGTGCTCATGCTTGTATTTTGTTTCTTCAGAATAATATCATAATAATATTGTGGGATTATTGATTCATATTTCATATTGTGTTTGAATTCTAAAAGCTTATAATTCAGGAGTCCAAAGCAGAGCAACATTATATATATTTTAAAATAATGGTCTGGTGGGTTAGCGGTCCGTCATCATCTCAGTTAAGTGTATTTTCTTGTCTTGGTTAACGATACTCTGATGTATTAAAATTACTTTAGTAAGTGCATTATACGCTTCAAATAATATAATAACAAGAAAAGTATTAAACTCATGAAAATTTTAATTAATTAAATATAAAAAATAATTAAATTAGATTTATTTAAACAAAAAAAAGAAAGAAAAATTAATTACAAATGATAAAAAATAATTACAATAAAGGTAATTAAGATATGAGGTATTAAAATATTTGATTTTGCTCATAATTAATTAATATAAATTTTAAATTAATTTACTTTTAAGATTAATTTATTGAGTGTTATTATATGTAATAGATGGATTCTCCTAAATTAACTAATTAACTTTCTTAAAC